GGGGTTTGGGGTTTTTTTTTTTGAGGGTGAAACAGCTAAAAATTGGATTTTTTGGGGATTTTTTTTCCCAATTTTTAGGTGAATCGGAAGCTGCAGGAAAGCACCGAAAAAGAGGGGGGGGCGACACCCCCAAATTCGGGGGTCCCCGAGACCTCCACAGCCCCCCCAGCTTGCGCCCACAAGGTTGGTTAGACCCCGAAATTGATTTTTTGGGGGGTTTAAAACCCCAAAATCGGCTGAAATCGCCCCAAAAACGGCCCCAAAAATGGCTTTTTTTGGTCCTTTCTGCCTCGCTCGCCTTCCCCTTCGGTGTTGGGAATGGTTTGGGGGGGTTAAAAAATTTAAAATTAGGTTAAAACGGCCCAAAATCAGCCCAAAAAAATGTGGAGATGGTGTTAAAAAATGGGTGGAAAAATTAATAATAATGTAATAAAATAAATATTAAAAAAGAATTAAAAAATAGTTTAAAGATTGGGGGGGAAAAAATCACAAAAAATGATGGAAATGTTGTAAAAAGTGGTTGAAAAATATAATAAAAAGTAATTTTGAAGTGCCCTAAAAATCACTTTAAAATGGTGGAAAAAATAATAAAAAATTGTGCCAAAAAATGGATGAAAAAAATCAGTTAAAAGGTAATAAAAAATCATCTAAAATCCCAAAAAAAGTCACAGAAAACGGCGCGAGAAATGATGGAGAAATCGTCAAAAATGGACAAAAAGTCAACACAAAAAATCCTCCCAATTTTCACTTCAAAACCCTGAAAAAAAATCACAAAAAATCACGGAGGAGTTGTCCAAAAATGGCCAAAAATATCAATAAAAAGCAAAGAAAAAATCGTTGAAATCCTGCAAAAAATCATGGAAAAAAATCACAAAAAATCACCCCAAAAATTCACTTTAAAATCTTAAAAGAAATCACAAAATATCGTTCAAAAATGGCTTCAAAATGATAAAAAACCACCCAAAAAAATCACCACAAAGTCCTGCAAAAATCAAAAAGAAATCCCCCAAAATTCACCCCCCAAAAAATTACCCAAAGTCACACAAAAAATCACAAATATCCTCAAAAAATCCCTCCAAAAATCACAAAAAAAACCCAAAAAAAACCCAAAAATCTCCCCAAAATAGCACAGAAAAATCCCCCCAAAATACCCTAAAAACTTCCCAAAAATTAATAAAATAACCATTAAAAAAAGGCTTTTAAAATCAACAGGAAACCACCCAAACATCTCCAAAAAAAATCGCCAAAAATCCCCAAAATTCCCTAAAAATTCCCAAAAATTGATTTAAAAAAATCCCAAATAAATCACTAAAAAAAAAGCTTTAAAAACCAACCAAAAAAACCATTTAAAAATAAAAATAAATCCTTCAAAAATCACATTTTTCCCCTCTAAAAATCGCTTTTTTTCCCTTAAAAATCGCTTTTTTCCCCCTTAAAATTCGCTTTTTTCTCCCTTAAAATTCACTTTTTTCCCCCAAAAATTCGCTTTTTTCCCCCTCTTTTTCTTTCTGTTCTCCTCCCTCGGTGTCGGGATTCTCTCGGTGGAATTTGGGGACCCCTCCCCAAATTTTGGGGCTCCCCCTCCTCTCCCTTTGCTGACCCCCCCCCTCTTTTCTCAGTGTCCCACCCGCTGGTACTGGAAGTTGGTGCCCGTAAGTGGGGGCTTTTCTCTGTCCCAAAATCCGCTTTTTTCACCCCAAAAATTTCACCCCCGCCTGCTCAATCCCATCCCAAATTTTTTGGGGGGGTGGGAGTGGAAAAATCCCCCCAAAAAATTTGTCGGGAATGGATTTTTCATCTCCTTAAAATTGGGAGTTTGGAGGGATGATGGGGGGAAAAAAAATGGGGAGAAACGGAGGGAAAATGGGAAAATAAATTGGGAAAAAATTGGGATAAATTGGGAAAAAATTGGGGATGAATTGGAAAAAAATTGGGGATAAATGAGAAAAAAATTGGCAAAAAATTGAATTTTTTTTTCTTTTAAATACAGGAAAAAAAAAATGGGAAAAATATTTGAATAAAATTCCAGAAAAATTTAGGAGTTTATGGGATCCTCCCCAAGTTTTCGGGGATGGATTTAATTTCATTGGATTTAATTATAATTAAAAAAAAAGAAACCTTCAAAAAATTATGAAAAAAAATCCCCAAAAATGCCAAAAAAAATCAAAATAAATTAAAAAAAAAAATCCCCAAAAATTCCCAAAAAT